GCTAGTCGGAGTAGTTAAGTCCGACCATGGGATTGATGGAATTAGTTCTAAACCGGTGCGTTACGGAAAGAGGTGCGTGGGGTGTATCCTCTGTTCCACTACATGAAGTGGCAGCGGGCTACAGCGAAGGAGTAAGGGAGGAGGGGGGTGTACTCTATGGAACACAGTTGAATTATGGGGCGTAGTGGAAGCTCAGACAACGGGGGCGGTATTGTGGCTTGAGGAAGGGGGTTATTGTTGTGAACGAGGAGGTCGCCTGAAAGTTAGCAACTAGCCGCTTGACTTCAGTTGACCGACGACCGCGGGCTTTGGCCATCATTGCGGGACCCTCAGGCGAGTGAAGATATCAAGGCCCTCTCCCGCGAGTCTGAGTGCATCTCTCTTGTATCTAAGAGACTTAACGATTCTTCTTCTGTCTTTCTTACTCTGAGTCTAGTCTATTGGTTCTGAGAGGAAGGCGCCAGGTGGGATTGCAACCCGTAATCCGCGCCAGGGCCTCTGTGGGAGGTTCGTCCCACCAATTGCGGGAGCTCTGCCGGAACTCAGAAGGAGTTCTAGAGGCAGGGAACTGAAAGGTAACCATTGCTTCCCCTCTATATACCCTAGTATAACCCCTATCTGTACATCTTGCTATGGTCGACTGAGTATACTATATGCACCCCTATTTTTGACTTTGGAATGACTGGCAGGACACAAGTCAGACTAAATAAAGGAATGTGTGTGGAATCACAGTTTCGGTTTGTTGATTGCCTGAAGGCAGATTGTGAACACAAGGGGTTGCATCTGGGGGGAAGGGTAGGTGAAAGGTGGTTTTGCTTGAGCCTGAATGGGTCCTATGAGGTCAGACTTGTTCCATAAGATTGGACAGCCTGACTGTTGTGTTTTATTTTTGAATTGCATGGAGAGTCTGACCAGTTCCATAAGATTGGACGGCCTGATTGCTCTGAATTGTGAGGGCTTGACTGTGGCTGACTTTTCAGAGGACAAACCTGTACCATAAGATTGGAGGGTTTGGTTGCCGTGTTTGGTTGGGGTTTTGTTCTGTTTTTTTTTTTTTTGATCGAGAAGGCTTGAGCAGGTCCATAAGATTGGACGGCTCATCCCCTTCCTGTTTTATTCTGAGGGAGTAATTCCCGCTGAGGGCAGGGCATGTCCATAAGATTGGACGGCTTTGGACTCATGCCGCACACAGTGGATCAGAGAGAAACGAACCCGGCAAAGGACTAGATGTGTTCCATAAGATTGGAGGGTCTGGCCCAATGCCTCGCACATGCTGGAATCCAAAAGGTAAAATTTTGGCTATATTTTATACTATCTTATTTATGAACAGGCTAGCCAGGCATGGGTTCCATAAGATTGGACGGCCTGGCTATAGCTTATCATGAAGTGAAGAGAGGTTAGCTAAGAGTATAATTGAAGGTAACCCTGGGTAGGCTAGAACTTGTTCTAAGATGAACGGCTCAGTCCTACGCCCAACTTTTGAACACCAAGCTCAGATATATATATTTAATTTGGATATTGAACAGTTCGGGGCGGCTGAGCCTTGTTCTAAGATGAACGGCTTAGTCATATGCCCAAAAGGAAGAGAGAAGTAGTTGTGCAACCTGTTCGTGTATACTCAATGGCTGAGTTACGCGGGTTCTATAAGATTGGACGACTTGACTTTACGCCCTATATAAGCTGGGTATAAGGGAATAAAGCATCAAGAGACTACGAACTATTATCTGCCAAGTTGGCTTGGGGAGGCGAGAGTACTTACCTTGTGGGTTGGCCTGTATGAGACTGAGTGAGACTACTACTTGGTTTGAATATCAGATTGACAGGTAGTTGCTTTAGAGGCTCGCCTCCTGCTAGAGCGATAGTAGTTAGTTCGATTCCTGCATTTTTTGAGTTGACATAGTTTTACTTAGATCAATTTTCGCATTTTCTGGGATTTTTTGTTATACTTCTCTTTGTATAAATTTTGGTAAGCCACTTTCTCTACGGGAAGCGCTGCCGAAATTTCTACAAATCCAGGGAGTTAGTCAATTTTGACTTGTCAAAGTTCAACTTGTCTAAAGTTTATATATGACTTAGTAAAAATCTGGACAGTCTTCTTTTCTAAGGGGAGTGCTGCCCAAATTTTTGCTAATTCAGGGAGTTAGACAAAATTTGACTTTGGAAAGTCAAAGACTATTTTTGCTTTCATATTCAGACTGATACAAATTTCTGAAAAGACACTTTTCCTTCGGGAAGCGCTGCCAAAATTTTCTTTATTGAGAGGAGTTAGGTTATATTTTGACAGGTGGCGATTTTGGCGATCCATTCTCAATAGGGGAGATTCTGTCATTAGTCTACCTTTGCTTTGGACATTGGCTTAGAGGTAAGCTTAGACTTAGTTGGCATCTAACTTTAAGTGAGAATGTGCTATGGAGGTTTATCCCCCATATGCTGATGATTTAGCTTGGGCATTGACCTCTCTTATGGTACAGACCTTTCTTTGACATTCAATTCAGGACTTGGACTAGTTTCAACTTGATCCTACGAGGATCGTTTTCTGTTATCACTGATAACAGGTCGGTTGTCGATTCGTCGGTTCGAGATTCAACTCCAATCTACTCTTGCCACTCAACCTAAAGGCTTTAGCCCTGTGGTTTTAATTGTTTTATTATGTTTTTACCCGGATTTTATTGAATGGCCATTTAACGAAAGTATTGAGTATTTATTTTGGGGAGTTGCACAAGAGTGAGGTTTGCGTGGCTTAAGCGAGGGGTATGAGCATAGAGAATGGTTGAAGTTGACCCCTTGTAGTGCGTGGTCATTTGTTGTACCTTTGATGTGGTTGCAGGTATGTTTTGTGGTTCGGACTCTGGATGTGACCGCCTACCATTACATACAGATATGGCTGAGAGTAGTCCCACGGTGACTGTGAGAAGTGATCGTCCTATGTAAATAAGCCTCGTATATATATATACTTATATGTGTCTTGGGTATGCGTGCGGCTTACTTAGATCGTGCGTAGGGGTTAACCAGATTATGGCTTGGGAGAAAAGGAAGACCCTCTGCTATCCTTTGTTTTTTGGAGGTTTTATAGTTGGACATTATAGTCCGTGGCAGCCGTCAAAGTCAAACCCCTTGACTTCCGCCCAGGCCTGGGGTAGGACTCATTCCCAGGGGCCGCAAGAGATGACAGCCACCACAGGTATGGACTTGTGTACCACCCGCTCTACATAAGGTGCAGAAGAGGGTGTGTGGTGTTCAACCCCGCATGGCGGTTGTCCAGCGTCGAGAGATTAACCCTCAAGGCGCGTGTCAACCGAAACTTGAGTGTCAAATGCGACCCTCGGGATTAACGAGGGCCCCCACGATTATGGGCACGACATAGTATGCCATCATTGCGACTGTTTGCGTACGTTTGCATTGCGAGTCGATATGAATTAGCCCTGCGTCCGCGCGGTTTTATACCGAGTCTCGCTCGCGACGCCTATTCGATTTCCGCGCTGGAAAGTTATGGGATGGTTACCGAGGGGCTAGGAGCGTTGTCGCGTTGTTCGTGTGTGCCGTTTCGTGTGCGCGTGTGTGCGTTTTATTTTTGTGTTCGTAAGGTGGTGTGCGCGTGGTGTGTGGGATGCGTCCTAGTCGACTGACGATGACTCGCGCTTGGAACTTCAGCCCCCCATGATGTCGATTCGCATGCGGGCCCGATAGGCGTATTACCTCACGTTCCCCCTATGCTACAGCGAGCGAGAAACGCCCTCGGCTGGTCCACCTCTGCGATTGCAACCGAGTAGCTTTCCTACGGTGGACTGGTAGCTCGGCGGGGATACGCCCACCGAAGGGAGGTGACAACTCTCATAAGGTAGAAGTAAGTTGTGCCTCGCGTAGGCCCTATCCTGTCGTAGGGGCTCGCGAGAGGTATGGCTGGCGCAATCGGCCGGAGCGGCCTAAGGAAGCTCCATTTGCGCGTTCGTGACGAGGTTGGTCCAACTCCTGCGTGACGTGGCCGAGAGGGTCCCGCGGTGCCGCGTGCGGTGCCGGACCGATGCGCCCGACAGGTGGCGCCGTTGCCGGGGATAACGGTCGCCTACCGTTGTCCCTGGTGGAATGACGTCCGGGTACGGGAGTCTGAGAACTAGGCAAAAGGAGAGGTCTTTGTTGAGCCTTTATGGCTGATCGATTGAAGGCGTTGGATAGAAAGTGAGTAAGGGATTGATTGTGTGAGTGGGTTGTGGTTCGGTGCAATAAGGGTGGCGCGATAGGGATAAGCTTTGGCTATGTGCCCATGTACGTTGATTATGCCCGTACGTACTTCGACTATGTACTTGTGTACTTTGACTAAGTATGACGGTAGTTGGAGTTGATACCTCTTCTGACCCCGATAGTTGATGGGTTTGGGCGATCATTGATATGTTTGATACACCTAAGGTAGGATGAGGCAGTATCAACAAAGCTAATTGTGGTGGTTGTGGGAGTTGGCTATGTAAGGTGCCCATTCTGGCTAAGGGAAGTTACCCGAGCGGTCAATGGTGCGATATAGCACTTTGGTTTAGGGGGAGGCATAGAATGAGTAAAGGAAGCCTACTATGTTAGAAGTCGTCAAGGGACTTCGAGGAGAGTTAGGATAAGGATGTTGAGAGCCCGTACGAGTATGAATTGAAATCTTGGAATTTGGGTTCTAAGTAGTTGCTCGAGTTGTATAGCCATAGAAGTCTGAGGCTTGCTCCACATGGTATGTTTGAAATTAGGTGTATAAGGTCGTAAAGAGATGCAGTGAGCACCGTGGTAAGGGCCCAATAGAAAGGACCACGGGAAGTAGTAGACTTGTGTGGCGCCTGATAGTGGAGAGCATATCATGTTATTTATGGTAGATCATTGCTTTGAGCTCCTTCCAGGTTTGGACAATCCACTTAGAAAGTTAAAAGACTTGAGACCATTTGTTTTGAGGATGTCATTTTGAGGCGTATATTGGACTCATCTATGGATGTCAAACCTTGTAAGCCTAGTTTACGCCTAGTTATGTGGAGTTATATGTTTAAGTAGATACCCCTTTCGGGAGTATTTCGTGTGGGTTATTTTATTAGGATCATATTTGGGATCTTATCAATCTGTAGAAATTTATATGAATGTCCCTTTTCCAGCGGCTAGCTCATGGTTGGCCATTAAGTATGTACGGCTGGGTTGTTCTTCCCAGAGGAGCAGGGATTGTCAGTGTAATGATAGAAGACGCATGCTGGATGTTTGTCTGTGATGGGCAGAACCCAGACAAATTAAAGGCAACTCAGGATGCCTTATGCACGGGAAGATCCGCGTATGCTCAGGCTAATTGAGAAAGAGGGAGGGCTCGAGGTATCTTTGCCCAGGATGGTCAGAGTAGGGGAGTACCTCCCTTCATGGTGGGGCATGTTGATAGGCACGGACACGTTTGTCTGGATCGAGTCTGGGTTTGATGATGAGCGGAAATGCGCAATGGTAAGGGTGACCCTGTACGCCTCAGCCGCCTTCTGGATCGAGCATGGGATAGAGTTGGCGCTTGGGCATGGAAGCTTGTTTGCTAAGCCTCTGAGGGTAGTCGAGGCAGCTGCAGCAAAGTCGGCGAGAGGAGTGTCTCGGGGCGGAGAAGAGCAAGTACTAACCCGTGTAGAGGTCAGACGCGCTGAAGAGTTCGAACTTCCATCTGCTTCGTTGCGAGTAATCCTGCGTGAGTTTTTGATAGAGAAGAGTTTTGGTGGGCAGGCGAGGGTAGAGGCGGCAGCTGAAGCTTCTCTGAGGGCGCGAGATTGGGAGTATGGGCGATACACATGTGAACTGATATATGATCTATACCTAGACCTGAGATTCCTGCCCTCTAGTCAGTGGCTCAGGAACAACGCCAATACGCTGGACGTATACGCCTCGTCTCATGATCCGAATGAGGGAAACGTGGACTGGGAGGAGATTCGGGCAGTAGTGGGCCGATAGGGAGTGCCTCTTTCTCCACTAAATGCGTTTCCTTTGACTTGGCCGGAGTCGTCTCTCTGCCCATTTATCGTGGTTATGAAGGGTAGCGTCAGGGTAACTAGGGGTTGAGGCCTGATCGCATGAGTAAGGAGTAGATAGCATGATTTAAGTGCTAGCAGTCTGCCCTTGTCTGCTTGAGCTTACTTAAATCACTGTTTGATGGTCTATTGCCCGTTGTGCGTATCAGGCTGCTGTCTGCATCATGGCGGAAGAAAGCGGCTTTGCCAAGATCTTGCTTTGGAGGAATTCGTGTCTTTTGTAGGCGTTGCTGCACGAAGTGTTGCAGACGTCAATGCCCCCAGATCTCCGCGCCCTGATGTTCCAAGGAAGGAACCTGTCTAGCTTTCTGCGTGACTTTCAGGATTTTAGCCTTACGAAATGTGGGACGAGAAGACGATGTGGTACATGCTCCTCGTGTTCGTTTGTGAAGGACTAAGTGAGGAGGTGTACACCCTCATGTTGAAGTCGCAAACCTGGGAGGAGTTGGAAGCTTCTCTGAAGTTGAGGTTACTTGAGGATGGGGTGGAATGCAGGCTTGGTAAGGGCCCTGAGCAACCAGCCGAGGCCGCGTCAACGCAAGGAGAGCTGAGTGGTATACAGAGGCAAGTTGGAATGCTGGAAGAGAGGTTGGCGCGGTTGGAAGAAGCCAGGCATGGCGAGAGGAAGACCTTCGAAGGAGCATCTGACGGACCGGCTGGGCAGGGTGAGGCTGAGGTAAGGGAAGATCACCAGGAGTTGCTCCTCCACAAGAAGACCCCGATAGGGCAAGTTTGCGCCCTAGAAAGAGATGAAAACGAGGGGGTCATTGAGATCAAGGAGGAGCGAGAATCTAGTATGACCCTACTCGTTATTGTGCCGGAGCCGAGGGGAGGGCCCATTGGCAGAGAGGCACCGTCGGCTGCGGGTTGGGAGAGGCAAAGGAATGAGTGGTGGCCAGAGCATTGGGAAGAGGCGGTATGTGATCGTTGGGGAAAGATTGACCGTACCCCTCAAGGAGACAAGGAAAGGGGGGTGATGGGTGAAAAAGAGGAGCCTGAACCTCCCAAGTTGACGAAGGCTCAGTGGAAGGCGAGGAATCGGGCCCAGAGGGGCCAAGGTACCAGCAAAGGGCAGGGCATGCCGCAGGGAGGGGCCACCCCGCAAGAATTGGGAGGAAAGCCAACACAAGCGGGACCTCCGCAGACTAAGCGGGCATTATACGGGCCGTGGACGCCATACGGTCAAGTGGGAACAAGACCCATATATAATTCATATCTGCCCGGTGTACAAGGCATTTGTTTGGGTCCGCAAATGGGTATGATGCCACCCAGGCCTCCTGCGGTCCAGTTTCAGCCAGCCTTGTGTATGGGGCCATTGCAGCCACCAATACCACGAACGACGGAAGGCCACGTGGCCGGTGGAAGGGGTCAAAATCGGAAAGCAGAAAAGGGTTGCAGGGACGAAGGGCACGGAAAGAGGGAATGTGGTGGCAGCAAAGGCGGCCCTGGAGGGAGAAAGTGGGTTGGGGAAAAGACATTTGCAGACATTGTGCCAAGGAGGGGCACATAATGAAGTTTTGTCAAGAACGAAGGACCGATGAAGCAAGCGGTCTTATAAGGACAGATATTGAGGGAGGTGTTTTTGACAGGGATGGGGAGCGTATCGACCCAACCATCCCTGGGGGAACACGGAAGGAAGCTTTGCGGCGAGAGGCAGCATCAGGCACGGCCTCGTGAAAGTAGTCGTAAGGAGAAAGGGTTTGTGAGAGGAGGGCCTGAAAATTTAAGCAGGCTATAAATGCAAGTGGGAAATCTCAATCGTATAGCTGTTGTAGGTAGGCACAGCATACAGAGGGAAGGGGTTCCCGCAATAATGGTCCGGTAAGGTGACGTGAACCACAGGCGGAAGGGACCTCAATAGAATAGTTGTATACATGGGGTATGTTAGGTCTGCCTCGCGTTATGTTATTGGAATGTCTCAAGTAGATAGAGCACCGAGTGACCCTGACGGTATTGTTACGAATTAAGGGTTTGTTCCATTAGGCCTATTGGTCAGGAGAAAAAGATATAGGACCTACGTTGTGCCTAGGCCTACATAGACGTATAGGTGTGAGAGGTAGGAGAGGCTTGGGAAGAACCCTCAGCATGTGGGAGATAGGCTCTCTAGCCTAGGAAGGCAGTTCTAAGACTCGTGTATAAATGACTTTTAGTCTTACCTGTCCTAGGGTATCTGGATATGTCTTGAGCTACTTGGGTCCCTCTGACTTAACGGGGTATGGCTACGTCGTGATCCAACTGTTTTAGCTATAGCTTTGGTCAGGGAAACTGCATTTGTTCTTGCGTGATCCAAGTGACGAGTTGAGTTGAGACTGTTCAACTCCGAGTGTATATATGTAATTTGAGACATTTGGCTCGCGTTTGAGTTGGGGTATTGTACCCCTGTGTATATATTGAGTCAAGATTTTATCTGAGACCAATTTTTGTATATGACGATCACAATCACTCTCACATGTGTGGTTAATCCTAATGTATGATGACTTTGTACGAGAGATGTGTGAGATACATCTCATGTATATTGGATTGTATGGAATTTGTGAGGATGAATGGATGTGAACTGTCTACTTTTCGGTATACTCGTGCGGCCTGCCTACAGGCAGGATAGGGCCGAGTATAAGGAGAGGGAGTGCAGTCCGTCATTGTGAAAGTGTGAAAATCCTAAGGGATTTTGCGAGTCTTTGAGACTTGGATACTTACCATGCCGGATGTTTTGCAGTTGAGTTGCGAAGAGGGCCCACAAGCAGGTCCCTCAGTTTTGAGTTGGTTCGTGGTTGGGTTGTGGGGAAGGCCCATAAGCAGGCTTCTCAGTTTGAGTTGTTCTATGGTTGAGTTATTCTATGGTTGAGACCCCTTTAGTTTGAGGAAGGCAGCAGTGTTATTTACTGGGAGACTCGTCTCCGAAAAGGGGGGTATTTTAAAAAGGGTCCTGTGATAGCCCATCCTAAAAAGAGATGGTAAGCAGTGTTTGAGTTGATAAAGTCTGACGAAAAGGGACCACGTTTGCTCAAAATGTTTGAGAAAGTCTCAAAAGAGTGCAGGGCGAGAGACGTCTCAGGATGGGTGGCTGCTGGCTCTCATCAAGTCAGGGGTCACGGCCTTGTGGACCTAGCGGATTTTGTTTGTGATTGTGTGAAGGATGCCATGCCTTTCGTGAGAGAGCTTTCAGACCCTTGCGTAATTCCGCAGTGGGCCCGTGATTGGTTTTGCGACGCTCCGTCTAACCACTTGTGCTAGTTCTGAGACATAGTAGGGGAATACCAAGCTAAGCGGTAAAGATTAGCACCTCTCGGGCATAACCCCAGTGGATGGCTGCTAGCCGACGCAACCTGGCTGCGAGACCGCGGAGTAAGAGTTTAAGGGGAGTTGCCCGCCCCAGGAAAATTACTCCGTGGGGTAGTAAAGTTTGAGAATTTTTGGGAAATCGTGATTGAATGCTTATCTAGAGAAAACCTATCGTTGCGTAACCAACGAGGGTACTCCCGCTAAAAGTAACAATGCGGTAGGCCGTAGTCCTGGTCCGATCAGCCAGGCTATGGTGGGCCAAGATGGAGACCTAGCCTTTCTGTACTGGACTGCAGAAAGAGCCGAGTGGATATTAAGTATACATATATATGTATGTATATTTGATTGCGAGAGATTTTATCAGAACAAAGGCGAGAGTGCCTTCAAAGGTCTCGGTCAAGGTCCGCGTCCCTAGTTTTGGCCAGGAATAGGGACACCTAACGAGAAGCCGAAGGTTGTCTAGGACCGGGGAGAGGATGATTGGGAAGGTCCTTGGGTAGAGGCCTCCATCAAACCATGTCTCCAATAGCAGCAGAGGGCGGAGCTGTCGCGCAGGGGAATGACGGGTAGCGGAGGCAACGGTGGGGGAGGGGGCCGAACCCGGACGGGTAGTCGGGGCAGGTGCGCGCGATGGCAGCGGAGGGTGATGACGGAGGTAAAGAGTGAAGCAACAGCGCAGTAGAGCCGGGGGCGAGGCAGCAGGGCAGCGAGTGTTAGAAAAGGGAGAGTAGAAGCCGCGGGCAGTAGATTGGTCCACTACAGGCAGCACACCGCCGGGCGCTGTAGGGGGGCTATGAGGTTGGAAAAAGGGGGGGTCGAACCTGGTCAAGGAAACGAGCCAGGTGCATTCAAAACAGAGATGGAATTGGAGATGGCGGAGAGATGACCGGGGTGCAGCGACGGGGAGGTGAGGTAACGGGCACAGAGTATCAAGGGGGCAGGAAGAAGCGGAATGTCGGGGAGCAGGGGGTGTGAAACGGGTTGGTAGGGAGAGCGGATGAATCGGGACGGGAATACGCGCTGGGTGCATGCACAACGAGGTAGGAGATGGCGGGAAGCGAGGTGCAACGTAGAGAGGGATAGTGCAAGGGATCCTCATCAGAAACAGGCGAGGGAGGAGTCGAAGTGGGGGATAGATAAATTTTGTCAGCATCGCGGACATGTGGGGCCCGTTAGTCAACAAAAAGGAGGCGTGCGCTTAAGGTCCCCGGCCACCGTAACGGCCTCTAAATCCGGTGCCGCGCCGACGACTAATAATAATAATAATGCAGCAAAAATATTTTTAGCAAATTTTTAAACATCAATATGAGACGGCTCGAAACAAAAGGGACCCACAAGTACCGTCCCACATCACTGACGGCAAGCCAAGGAAAATAGCCCCGCCGGGCCCTTCGCGCCGCTCTGAAGTTTCGGCGCCGCCGCTCGATCTAGATCCCTGAACCTCCTTGACGATAGTCCGATGCAGTAACCAATAGCGCTAGGCCCTAGTCTGGGTTTAGCCCTGACGGACGTCTAAATAAACAGACACCGCGTCGCGCTGACCTGCCTTCAAAGTCACAATATTGTCGATGCCGTCCTCTGCTCGTACGCATAGGTCACTGGCAAGCGCAACAATCAACAGGACATAATCCTTTTTATCCCTATTTAATTAGAAGAAAAATCTCGGTCGGCGATCACGCCGATTCTCCAATCACCAATAAATAAAAGATCACGTGCGTCTCAAAAACCCGCACGCCCACACACTCTCTATTCTAGTCAACCATCCAATCAACGTAAATCAAAAACGCAACCACGCCTTGCGCGGTATACTTAAACTTTCAAACTCATTTTCTGTGACTTGCAAAAACTAGGGCGGATACCCTTGTACGGATATTCGCGCCGACATCGCCTCTTCTAGTCCTTATTCTCACACGTCTTGTGTGAGACCTTTCAACAACCAAAGAACCACATTATGCAACATGAGTAGGAATACAAGGCAGCCCATAAAGAATTCTCGAAGCAGCTCAACAAGAAGGAAGGAAGAAAACCGGACATTGAATGAGGTTTATTAGAAGGATAACTTAGTTCTGAATTAGAATTCATTCTCGAAAGAGTTTAGTAACCCATCCTAGGCCATCCTCTCCTATGAGGAACTTTAAGCTTGGCATTACCTGTTCATCCCACCTTGTTGGCACTCTGAAATTGAGGTTGTCATCCGTTTTATAACTGTTAACTTCAACTTTTTCTTTTTACTTACGAGAAAAACAATGTTGTGTGAATTCATCACCAAGATTTCTCCTATCCGCAAGGAGACAAACAGCTCACCAATCTGAGTAACACTCCGTACGACGTACGGGGGGTTTATCGTACGGCCGTACGAACGGCCGTACGGCCGTACGTACCGCCCCGTACGAAAAAAAAAAAAAAAAAAAAAAAAACCGTATGTTTTTTTCTCAAATTTGGCATCGAATTTCAATATGACCCTGAGGCAAAAGTGATTTTTTTTTTTTTTTTTTTTTTTATTTTTTTTTTTCAATTTTTTTTGAATTTTTTTGTTTTGCTTTTTTTTTCGTACGTACAGCCCGTACGACCACATGAGCCCGTACGTACGGTCGTACGGACGTATGGACGGTCCATATTCGTACGGGGGTATACACAGTCTCCAATGAGGCATTGCGAGAAGGAACGAATCAAACTTTTCTTCTGATGAAATCCGGGTACAACTATTGCATGAGCGGTGCTAAGAGTGGCGCCTCTTGGTACAGAAAAGGTCGTTGCCCGATGTATTTTTTTGTCTCACACCTTGACAGTTAGAGGGTCCACATTAATTGTATTGAGAGGCTATTCAGTGCTATCCACTTGTAAATGTAGATCCGATAAGGATAAAAATAACCACAATTCTTCATTGGGCTACTGCAAATGGAGGAGTACGCTTAGACTGACGACTACAAGAAATAGTCATCCCAGTCTCTAAGAGGATGAAGGAGAACTCATTAGACAGGGTTACGACTTCAAAATCACCCTTCTCCATGCAACTCAACTTCGGGTTTTATCACAAACACTTTGACCCCACCAACGTCTCTTTCATTGAACCCAACAACTAGGTCAAATGATTAACAACATTTTTTCTTGCCCCTTTATGCCTCGCATTATCTCCAATCTCGTCTTACCTCGTTCTACGCACAATCTATATTGTCAACTTGTCATACACGTACAAGTTCTTTTCGTACATGTTGTACGTACATTGTACATATATAATCCTGTACGTGCCCACGCATGTTCCATACGTAAAATGATCAGGAAACAAAAAATTAAAAAAATTGTAACATAGGCAGACAACTAATATTTCCTTAAGCACCAACCCAAAATTCTTATTAAAATATTTTTAAAAATAGAACTACGTTGCAACTTGTACTCAGTCTTACGAGTCATACTTCTTATTCCTACGCTTGAACCCATATGACTCTGTCGCATCAAGTTCGGGTTCGGTGACCGAA